AGTTCAGCCCTCCCATGCACCTTCCTTGCCTCCTTTTTTTGCCAGTGACCATGCTGTGGCAGAGGGAAGACAGACAGCTGTTTGGGTAACAAATCACTTCAGTGTCACACAAAAGAATGCAGAACCAAAATCTGAGCTAATAGGTTTTCCTTAAGAGTTCTGCCAGGCTCAGCACAGGTAAATTAAGTTACCAGGATGCAGCTGCAGGACGGCAGCTTGCAAGGGTGACCACAGCCCACATCTCTGATGCAAGGAGGTCATGAGATGTAAACCTGAGTGACCAACAGACTTCTACTGCTGTCATTATTTACCATGTCCTGTTTCCCTGAAGACTACCAAGAATTTTGGATACCTCGTTTCTTGCCTTAGAATTTTCCTTGATATTAAAACATTGCAAATTTATGCCAAAATACCGATAAATTGTTCCCAGAGAAATGCTTAATCAAATTGCTTTATCTGTAATTGAATATATATGTATTTTCAGTGTTAGTTAACAAACATTAATTTCCAAAATGAGAAGACCTTCAGGATAAAAACTTTTTGCAAATGGATAAAAATTTTCATCAACATGATAATTTTAGTTACAAAATCACAGAGTGTTTAATCACAGAGATTGAATCTCTTTCCTTATAAATAATGTTTGTTTAAGCGATGGAGAATTTTCAGGATTATATAAAAATAATCCAAACTTGCTCTACTATAAAACTTTTGCTTCCTCTACTTCCCAAACTTCTTTCTTTTCTTTTTTTTTTTTTAATTTTCCTGTATGGTCTGGCAGTTTGGCAGAAACACAAATCATTTCTAAGGAGGGGACTGCTTTAGAGAGATAAAAGGCATCTTTTCCTGATAGCCGAACTGCTCGATGCACATTAAAGGCAGTAATCATCAGTCTTCGCACTTTTCTTTCCCTTTCAGGGAGGACTGCAAGATACAGATATGAGTTCTGATATTGTGCACAACTACTCGCTTATATTGTTACACAAGTCTTAGAGAAGCTATAAAATGTTCCAAATTTCTGCAGGCTTAAAATGACCTTTTAAAATGATCTTTGTGAGTCTCTTGTCAGACTAGCCTTGGTCCCTTCCAATCTATTCATTTTTCCTTTTGTTACTCCCTGGAACAGAGTTCTGTTCCCAAGAGGGTTTTGATAGTAGCAAATTGCTCATATCAGCTTAGAAAAACCCATCCTCTCCTGTACTGTATGTCCTTTTATTTAATTTATAATAGTGAGGCAATTGGATCCTTTGCTTTGTTCTCCATATAAAGTAACAGAAATCTAATAGGAGCAACTGGTGGAAAGGAAAACCTTACTCTAGGGCAGGAAAAAAAATGTCCCTGTGACAGACATCACACTGGGAAATCATGACCTGGTTTAGCTTCAACCAAAGAGGTGGTTATTAGGGCAACTTAGTTCAAGAAGCAAGTTACATCAGGCTTTTGCATTCTTTGGGAGTGAGAAGGACAAGGGATGCCAGCACAAAAAAAGAAAAGGAAAAAAAAAAAAGGTTACACAAGGAGAGGAAAGCAGTCTGCTTTCACCTTTTATTCACAGTATATTTCCACTGCTGACTTCTCATTTTGTGGATTCATGGTTTTCTGCATGTTGACAGGAATCAATTGGATTGTCATTATTTGAGAAATAATGTTCCTGTACAAGAACAGGAGCAACTATGACATACATGCTTTAACACTGTTTTTCTATCAAGGTTCAAAGTTGGGAGCCTACAGGTTTAACTGGGTAATTCAGCAGAACTTACAGTCAAAGGTAGTTACAGGCACTGGTAGATGTCAAACAATCTCCCTAGTATTGTGATCCTCTCTGAGTAAACTGTGTGCATGGAAAGTAATGGAATTAAAATGCTATGCTGAATGATGAAAAGGCAGACTCTTCACTCAATACTGTGGTAATGCATTTCCTTCTTCCCAGGCCACACTATGATCTGAGACATGCGCACATAAAGGAAACAGATCTGTGGTTACTATCTTTTACAATCAAGTTTGTCACCAGAAAGATCGCCTATAATTCCACTTCTTAATTTGTTTTTGTAAAGCATCATATGAAGTTATTAGTCTATAAAAAGAAGCAAGAGAAATAAGAAAACATCCTAAAATATTGTAATAGTGCAGGCAATAAAAACGTAGGGTTCATATAGGAAGAATGCAAGCTTAGTATAAAGTTTTTAAATGTTTCAATCCACTACTGTCAAACCCTACATTTGCTTTTCCAGTGTTAACAACAGAACACCTTTGTTACCTCTCTGGTGTCATATTTATTCATGACTAGCATATGTTACCCCACACCAATAGTTTGATGGATATTTTACATGAGAAAAACATGTAATCAGAAATAATTCTTGTGACTGGTGATGACTACCTTAAACAATTTTCATTAATTTGATCTCTTTGGAAATATAATTGCATTTTCAAAAAATATGAAAACAATATATTGAGTTTTAGTTTCTTCATTATTCTTAATGTACTATATTATTGATGTTGCCTCATTGACCTTGTCCCCTGAGGTAAGCACTGCTGACACCTTTTTTATTATTTTTCTCATTAATAAACATGTGCCTCCTTCACTAGCCCATGTACTACTTCCACCATGTAGAGTGGATAAAGTGTCTTTTATCATTCATTTATCATTCATTGACTGTTGATTCTAAGTCTTTCCATGCCATCTTCCTATGAAAAGGCCATTGGAGTGGATAGTTTCTTAATTTTGTTCCCATGCACATATATTAGCTGTTTGTGTAAAGATTACAGGCTCTGTATGTGGACACTGATAAGTGAAAACACAAAATATTTGTTGTTGCTGTTTTGCCTAGGAGGAAAGTATGTTATTAGTGTAATTTGATATTAATATTTCATTTTAAAATACGAATGCTGACACAGCACCAGGATGAGGGGAATCCCTATCCTTCCCTAAATTCACCGTGTTCTTTTTCCCTTTATCAAACTCTCTAACAGGCTGTGCTGTGAGATTTAATGGACACTAGATTATGGGTAACTCCATGGTTAGACACCAACCTACAGTGTAACTCCACTAAATCTGTTATTCCAGATTAGAAAATGAAAATATTCTCTGTGACCTTTACAGTGTTCTCAGGCACACAGATCCACCAAAGACAGAGAAAAAGACCTTCCTCTGCCACGTCATCCAGACATGCACTTCCCCTATGCTACATCATTTAAATGCAGATGTCTATGTAGCATTTACTAAGCTCTCTCTTCTTCTGTTTTAGGCATACAAACATGGTAAATACAGGGACAATTTTAAAGTCCCTGAGTGTATCCTCTACATAATTGCCATGTTTATCCATAATGATATAGGAAGTGTTCAGTCCAAAAAACCCAGAAAAGCCCAAGGTTAGGAGATAAAACCCTTTGAATATTATAATTTAGTTTCACTGCCTCTGTAATTGCAAAAGTGAAGTCAATGCATTTTCTCTGCCTGATGGGGAAGATACAAAAGTAAAAGGTCAAGGCTTTATCCATCTGTGGTTCTGCCACTGACTTAGTGTATAATCTTGCACAAATCACTTTGAGCTGTTGTGTATCAGGTCCTAACCAGGATAGTTAATGGCATCTTCCTGCTCTGCAAATAGTTTTAGGTCTATGTCTATTCTAGTAGCTTAATAACATTAATCAATGTTAATTTATTGAGCAATGCTTTTAAATGCCTTCTGTGTGCTTATTTTTCTGTATTAATGTTTCCAAAACTGTTTTTATTGTCATGATTGTAAAATGTACTTTAAATCCTTATTTTTATTATGTTATTTTCCCACAGCTGGTAGTGAAAAGAGATTTTTTTTTTTCAGCAATGTGTGCTGTTTTCCTCTAAAGCTGGTTTAAGTCAATGACTGAAAATCATGCCATTACAACAATATAAAGGTATAGCTTGAAACTTTGACTTTATTCAGAATTGTCCACAGCTGCATTCATTCAACCCAACTATTTATTCTTTTATTCTCTTTCATGCACTCTGCTACTGACTTATTTCCTGCATTATAAATTGGTTTGCAAACCTGTGGGCATGTTCACTGCCCTTTTCACTGACTTAGTAAAAACCTACCACCTGTTCACTCACTCACTCTTGGACAGATCTGCCCTCAGTCTCAGACCTGGCTTCTGAGACAGTTTTGGTCTCCTCTCATTCCTTACTCTGCTCCTGTATCTTCTACCCTGTAGCTAATTTGTTCCTGAGGTTAGTTAAGGACTGAGGGTTTAAGAGACCGTCAGTTGTTACAGCTTTCTTTAACCCCTTTTTCTTGCTTAATTGCTCTTTTTTTTTTTTTTTTCCTGCCAGAGATTTGATACAGCTTGCCTAGACTTAAAATACCCGTGTGTATATTCAACCTCAACACATTGTCTGAAGCAAGTGTACTAGGACTGAGGCAGCCTTTACATATTGCTACTTTGCAGAAAGCATTACAAGTCCTTTTGAAGATTAGACTTTATTATGCTTATAGTAGAGGTTTTTAAAAGCATGTTTCCTCCATGTCCTTGGAATACCCACTATGGAATTGATGTGGACATGTATTAATAACCGTTCATTATATGATCTCATTGCCACAGCATGCAGTATTTGGAAGATTATTATCTTTTTTAGAAAAACAAAATCAGTTATAATTACTGTGAGGACCAGTGTCTTCAGCCCTACACCACTAGCTCACATACAACCTAGACTAATATTACAGGCCTCTGGAAAACTTCTCAAATTTGTGTCAGAGGCCATTTGTTTTACAGTCCTGTGAAAGACATGACTTGTAACTGGAACCAAAAGGAATTTTCAGTGGTGGAATTTATGGTACTAGCTGTATGTCCCCAACACTATTATTACTAGTGTTTTCTTTTTGACATCAAATCCCATTTGGTAATATATTATACTTGAAAGAAGGTTCTAAATGTGACTGAGAATCTGCCATGTGAAAAGGTACAAATATCAATTCCTTCAAGTCTGCAAGACTCTCCAAGTTTTGCTGAGAACGGAGATTGAAAACTACATTATACAAATTAACAATTTAATTCTTAAGAGGTCAAGACATCTAACCTGGATAGAGTCAGAAAGAATGGAAATTTTATCTTGGTGCTAGTCTTTGGTCCAGTTCCCTTGTGCCACTCCAGGTTTTTGGAAATGTGTGCAAACTGCAGGCTCCCTGGGGAAACATGACAAAATTCCTGTGATTTTCGTACTCAGAGCTAAGAACTGCCCAAGCCCTAGATTTTGTTAATGATTAAAAAAAATCTTTGTTTCTTCCCTTGGAATATAATTTCATAGTCATATCCCTCAGAAGATGTTTAGTTTTGTCTATACCAGAGGGTTTTGCTAGCATATTAATACCAGCAGTCAGCCCCAGTGGAGATGCAGGCTAATCTTCTGATAGTATAAATTATAGCAACAGCACAAATAAAATATGATAAGGATTTTTTATCATGCTGCTGTATTTGCAGCAAGAATTTTCTGGCATGGGCTCATCTGATCCTTTTTTATGGCCCTGTAAGACTTAGGTTAATCATCAGAGCTGGTTTTCCACCTTCCTTCCTGGCAGACCATGGCTTCTCAGCCCCTCCTGCTCCCCACTGCTGTTGTCCCCCCAGAGCTGGGTATGACTTTCTTCCCCAGTGTTTTGATAGCATTATGACCTTATTTGATGTCAATGGTGTGATGAACACTGGTTACCCCATGTCAAGCTAGACTGAGTTAAACCACCATTCTGAAAATGTAATGCAGGAAAACTGATTTCCCACTGTTTTCCACACAACAGACTGTTTGCTGGCTATGCTAATACCCTCCTTCACACTCTACCATTTCATAGACCCTGAAATATCAAGGATGCTTTGCATCTAAACTTCCTTCCTCTGAGGTTATCATTATGTCTCTATGTCTTTAAGAGGCTCGATTTCCTCTATCATTTCTTCTTGACAGTACTCCTTGCCTACGGCTAACGTGAATTATTAGATTGACTAGCATGTTATTGTAAAAATACAATGTTGTGTAATGCTGGAATTTAAAGGTCAGACAGTAAAGCAAGTGCCAGTATCTAACGAACTAAACGTTTTGTTCGGTCTTGCTTCAATGACTGTTGCTAACCAAGCTACGGCAATCTCATGACACTGGTATCACCTGTTCCACAGCAATAAAAAAACCCAAAGCAAACCCCAATCCAAACCCCGACAGCCATGTGTTGGTCCGTGTCATTCGTCTGAACAGTCACACCAGCGTGCACGGACATGATGGTAATCAATAACTCATCAGTGACTCAGCAGAAGGATCGCGGGTGAGATCTGGGCATTTACTGACCTATTTTCTCTCCTTCTATATACCGCCAAGCAGTCACCTAAGCCAACCTATGCTTTAAGGTGCAATAATTCCAGTAACGTTTGCTTTCGACACGCGTTATTCCATTCCCATGATGCCGAGAAGCGGGATCCCAGGTGCGGTTTTCCCTGTGGTCTGCGGCGAGCGGATGCATCCTGGCCGAGACGAACAGAGGCGGAGGAGGAGCAGCGGAACGCGACAAGTGGCACTAGGTGCGAGGAGCTGCGGCGGCTCTCGCACGGCCCGGCTCAACTGCGGGACACCGCACCTGCTTTCGGCAGAGGCGCCTCGCTGCCTTGCCAAGCCACG